CAAGGGATACCGGTGCAACACTTTATGGCACTTGCTATCAATATTGCACGAGTCACAGACGAGTGCAATATTGTTACAGCTCGTGCAATATAGTCTTCTGTCCCTCTCAAAGCAATCCAATATTATATAATTCTATCCAGTCCTATGTTATGGAACCACCAACAATAGGCAGATAGTTCAGTTGGTACAGCACCGGAGCGGCAATCCGGAGGTCGCAGGTTCAAACCCCGCTCACAGTTGATTTCTTTGTTCAACTTTGAAAAATAATTATGTTTAAATTATCTTCAAGTGTGTGGATTTACAGAGAACTTGTAATTCACTGTATCAGATGAGAGACTCCGTTAAAAATGTCAAGTGTTCGATGATGCAAGTAACAAACCATGCAGCCTGCAAGACGTGTGTATTCCCCAGGAGAGTTTTACCACAGAAGGCTGGCACATTACTCCAGCCACTGTATTTAATCAACCTAACGATGGCACGGAGATGCAACTAATTTCAGGCTCTGGTGGTTATTAGAATCCCACAATTTACAGGTATCCAAGATTCAGCACATGTGGGGCACTTGGCACGCGGCTGATCTGATCGTCTGAGTCAGGCTGTTAGCTCATTTCATAACCTTCATCTTTAATTAAAATACAAACTTTATACACATGTTGAGTGTATTGCACACACGCCTCCATTCGCAAAGTGTTCGCAGATAGAAAGTAAACATCGCTCATTCTTGGGCAATGTCATTCACAATTTTAGCGTTTACAAGTCGGGAGTTAAAATACCGCACAGAGCCATTTATGACATGATTGCCAGCAGTATGTGAATGAAACTCTCTTCACAATGAATTCTTTGCATTGAATCCTTTGTATGGTTCAAGTAAATAATGAAGGTGCTTCAGAGCAGCAGTGTGTATCAAAGGGATGACCCTGCATCCTACAGCCTGGCAATATTTACACTTAACCCAGAACCCCCTAGGCCCTTTTTACTACCGGTAGGAACCATCCTCAATCATCCAAAATCCTCCAAAATTTTGCACTTATTTTCAAATGAAGGATACCCAGCGTCCTCAATCCTTCAAAAGTGCCGGACAGTCCTGCCTCAAAAAATGCATTCATCCTCAATCCTCCAAAATCCTCCTCTTCAAACACCATTCATCCTCAATCCTCCAAAATCATCATGTTTCTCAAACACCATTCATCCTCAATCCTCCAAAATCCTCCTCTTCAAATACCATTCATCCTCAATCCTCCAAAATCCTCATGTGCTTCAACACCATTTATCCTCAATCCTCAAAAATCCTCATGTTTCTCAAACACCATTCATCCTCAATCCTCCAAAATCCTCCAAAACCGCCAGGAGGATTTTGGAGGATTGAGGTGGGTCAGCAATATTGCTAAGCTATAAAGTTTCAAATGAGGTTTGCTGTATTTAGGCTAATACAATATACTGAAACTTAAATGTGTCAAGTTTCTCAGAATAACTTTTGGCACGAAGCTTATGTACATTAGTGCTGGGAGAAATCGGTGATTTCAAAATCTGGTCGTCCTATTTTTTTTCTAACTGAAAAACGGTTATCCGATTTCACCAGAAGTTCCCATCCAGCTCACAGTCATGCCAACAAAAAGTGCGGAGTGAGGTGTCACATGCAATGCCCTCCCAATGATTGGGTATAGTTTGCAGGATTCAATAACCATTCTGCAAGTTACAAAAACACTCCAGAGCCGTAATGTTGAAAAAAAAATGGGTGGGAACTCCCAGATTAGTTGAATAAGCAGGCTATTCATGAACCAAGAAGCCCAGAAGCAAGTGAATGCGGTCACAATCAGAGACCATGGAGCAAATTGGGGGATGTTTCGGTTGTTTTCTTTAGCCTGTATCACACAAAAAAATGAAGATTTAATTTTTTTTTAAGGTTGGTTTCGAATATCCCATTTCCAAAATTTTAACTGAATAGTGGAATTCAAACCGAATTTAAAAAAATCTGGATTTGAATACCACCACTAATGTACATGACATGCGTGGTCACACCATTTTGATTTAAATACATGTACATCAGGGGTGTGAGTGACCACTGATAAAAATGGCTGAAAACAGCTGGAAAAGGTGTAAAAAAGCTGAACTTTGGAAATCTCCTATACTTTTGTACACAGCAAGTGAGGGAAAAAAGCTGAAATCCAAAACAAAAAAAGCTAAAATCCGCTTTAAAGCCGAGATTTCACACCCTGATACATGTACATGCAGAGTTTCAAATTTCAATAATAACTGAGAATAAGAAGTGACATGTTAAGAGTAAAACCTATTCCAGAATTGTAGGTTTACTGTTGAGGTCATTCTTCTTTTTTTTTTACTGTTTGTTTGAAGTCAATCAATAAGCAAATTTAATGGGATGTGAAATAGAATTTTTAATGGAAACCTTGAATTGCACCATTGAGTCCAATTTACCTTTTTCTTGCAAATGAGATTTTCCATAGGCATTAAAAAAACAAATTGTGTCGCCGATTGCACATAAAGAACACCATACTTTTGGTCTAATTTCAGGACAGACAGACAGACCATCCGACTGACCTACCGACCCACCGCCCAACAAGTGACATAGGTAGAAGCTCCTATAGAGCTTAAAAATTGCACCCCGCCCACTTTTTGGGGACATTTCTTCCTTCTGGATACCACTTCACAAAATAGGGTCCCCCTTAGTCAAGGAAGATGTTTTACAGTGCAAGTGCGAGTGCACAATATGCTCTGGCCGTGTTGCAAGAAGTCTTGCATGAACATGATGAAAGTCCTGCATGAAATCGATCAAAATGATCCCTGCCAGAGCTGAAAAATGCGACGCCGAAAAACGCGACGCCGATGGCACATGTGAAACACCATACTTTTGGTTAATTTTTAGGGACAGACAGACAGGCAGACCGACCACCAAGTGACATGATTGCAGAAAAGTGTGCCCATTTTTTCATGTACAAACCACTACGATGAGCAACAGCTAACATTGCTTCAAAGTTTTTTAAAGCTCAAGCTGTAAATTGAGGGCATGTAAATCTACAGCAAAGCCAAAATGCTTCACAATTCAGCATATACATGTACATTGTAACAAGCATTTTAAACAGTGAAAACCTGTGAATATATCTGCTGAATATATCTGCTCAATATGTTTTGATTTAAATTAGACATGCAGAACGTTAGAACCCGTGCCAGCACGTGCGCTTTTTTGGCAAATGTCCGCTCGCAGGCAATTTGTCACTCTGCATCGAGGTATTAAACCGTTGGGGAAATCCAATAACACCGTAATCTGCTGTGGAATGAAATCTGGATTTATGATGAAATATCGCTGCCGCATGCGCTGTGCAATGTGTTGTTTGTACAAACAATGTCAGAAAATATTAAAGACAAGCATGCTGTATTAATTAAAAGGTTAGATTGTGCGAAGGATATCCTTTGTTTGTTCAGTTTTGAGCTTTTACATGTACACATGTAATTTAAAAAAACAACTTTTACATGTAAAAAACAAACAGACAAAATACACGTACATGTAAGTACCGAATTAAAAATGGAATGCAGAGACCAGGCAGGTTGTTTTTTAAACCATCTGTGGTATAAAGGGCAAACACTGGACCAATATGAAAAAATAATAATATTCATGATTGATATATGTACCCATAATTTACTTCCTTGAGGTTTTGAGGAATTATGACAAATATAATGGTAGTTAACCCAGTTCGTGCCAGGATTATTTTGACATTGACCAGACCCAGGCATGGCATTGTTTTCACGAACCTCAATGCTATGGGTTCAGGCCGTCATCTGGGGGTAGCACACCCTGATATTTCTGGCCTCGCTCGCTGCAAGCGGGTCACAGACAGATATTTCCGGCCTCGCTCCTTGTGTGTTCATTTGTCATTTGTTCCGAATACTGCAAAACGTCATACAATGTGAACTGGTTAATATACCAGCTATGCGGGAGAAAAGTAGGACCTTTGCTGGCTTTCAGGAGTGTTTTTCGTTAATAACCATGGCCACAGCATCTTAAGCCTCATTTGGCATTTTCTAAACTCACAACACTTGTGCTCCATCCTCAAGTATTAGCTCTTAGAAGTACAGTTGCAGTACTCCTGCGCCCAAGCCCTTCATTGTGTGATTTACTTATGACAGTGTGTAAGACTGTTATAAAACATAGGCCTATTCAGTGGCATTTCATTTTTTGGAGTTGTGAGATAAAAGAATAAGAAAAAGTAGCAATTTCAAAAAAAAAGTAGGAATTTCAAGAAAAAAGTAGGAAAAGTAGGAGCAAGGTAAAAAAAAAACTAGGACAACGTTGGAAAAGTAGGAATACTTGAAAGCCTGGTACACATGTACACGGCACAGGTAGTGACCATTATGTCATCTGATAAAGCATCGCGGTTATTTTATGCGAAAATAACACGCGACTTGGCTGCTAATCAAATGCTTGCCTACTACAATAATGGCCGACAACAGGGAAACTGGATGGTCACGTGGTGCTTCGATGCCACACCATCGCACCCTATCGCTTCTGTACATGAATACATGGGCGTGTTCATCTACTCAAACCGTGGACGAAAAATGCCAGAGAACAAAAGAGAACAATATCGTCCACGATTCCCAGCATCCACGTCCACGATTGGGGTCGTGTACAAAACCTATGGGAGTCTTCCTAAAAAGTTAAAGTACAAACAAAAGAGGGACAATAGGACGTCCACGATCCACGGTGAGAACACGACTGCTTGTTCATATTGTGTTCAGAGATTCAACAACTTACAAGATTAAGATGCATATTGTTAATTTTGTGTGTGACTTGGCTGGTCCAATAAGCAATGACAAATTTTGTGCAAAGCTTGCTCTGGTCTACCCGTACATGCATCTTGCATAGATCTTGCATGGAAACATCCACATGTATACATGTATACTTCTGCAACCTAGCATCTATACAAAAAAACAGCACTTGGTTATCAAAAAACGGGGGTTAAATTGGCATTGCTACAACATGTACTTGCCTTGCATGAGTCTTGCCAGAGTCTGAGATTGCGGACTGGTCTTCTGCCTCCTGCCGTCCCTTGACTACAATGTCAATCAGCAGGTCCACCACGAGACTAGCCGCTAGAGGGGACCCGTTGCCGGGGAAACACGTCTTGAATACTCTGTCCACTCGACTGCTCGGGGCCTGCAGTGGAAAAGCGAATTAAAAAGCTGGGATTCTCTAAAGCTTGCTGAATAAGGAAGACTAGCCGCCCATGCTTCACAGCCAAACTAATCTGTGGTTTAAAACTGCCAATTTATCAAATCCATGATAATTTATAACCTTTTAGCAAGTGCAATTTTAATTTTTTACATCCATACAGCCGTAACTCTCAAAGATTTCTTAATGAGGTGAAGATAAGGATAAGTTTAACAGAATACTGAAGTTCACTTTAAAGGAATGACCCTCGTGTCTGCATTGGTTAAAGGTACATGTAACATACTGTGTACAACATTTGCAAACATCAACAAACAAAACTACAAAATTGTTATGAATAACTGTAAGTGAATAAAAGTCTCAAGCATCCTGTGAAATCATGGCACCTGGTGTGCTGTCATTATCAAGACAAGTGGACTTTTTGTATCAATTTCCAACGGAAAGGTTGACTTTTTCCCAATGGAATGGTTGCCCGACCGTCGTTGGAAAAAAATGACTTCTTTCCAATACTGCCCCCTGTTTACCAAATTTATGTAGTCCACATTTTGTTTGCAATTGGTTACACCTCCGTGAACAAGTGCAAGCCAACTAGTCTGGTGACCTGACAATTCCCCAATGTCTTATAAATTGCTCCGCTTTGTCTAGGTCCCCGACATCTTATAAATTGCTCCGTTTTGTCCGAAGTAGGGTCAGGGAACCGGACAACAAAAACATCTTCTTTTTTCTTGGTTTTTCCAGCATCTGCATGAATGAACGCAAAACTTTAAACAGGCCAGTGTAACAATATTTGCTATAAAATACTAACCCCCGAATCCATCCATTTCTGAAAACTACAGCAAAAGCAAATGTTGTATATTTTTCAATAGACCTTATGCGTTAAGGCGGAGTCAGAGGGCAGTGGTTTTGTATCGCTGGGATGCTAAGGCATAAGTGAACCTTTTGTTCACTCATTGTTACTCCATTAAAATAACAAAGAACATCCTTTGGGGTACAAAATTTCTGTTGAAATCATTCATATTTTGTACACTGTCACACACCAACTACGCGTATGGTATTTTGCATACATGTGCTCCCATACACGTACATATACATGTACATACACACATACTGAAATTTGTATTCTTGTGGAGACATTTCTTTGTTCTCATGTAGTAAAAGTTTCGGGTTTGAAAGTGAAGTTTCAAAATGCTCTTATTTTAACCAGAATTAATTTCCTTGGCTAAAATTTGGACTTAATATCCCTTTTCTAAAACTCTTCCATTTGCGACAAATCAACCCACCTTGGAAATTCCTAGTTTTTGAGTAAAATCCATATATCTATTTCGTGACAATCTTGTGGAGACGTATTCATCTATAGAAATTGCCCTGTGGAGACGTATACAATCTCTTGTTCCCTATTTTACACACGTCTTAAGAGGGTAGGGTGTATCAGATCATACATGTATGTACAATGTACATGTACTAACTGAATGCATACATACTGTACATGTACAAATCTATCTAGGGAGGATTGAGAGATTAAGAAATGAATGTTTAATATCTGCATGAAAAATGATCAGGCACAGATACAGTATATGATTAAATATACATGTATGCACATCCAAATATACACAGTGCATGTTTACAGTTTCTGGGTTTTTTGGGGGGGAAGTTAATTTTCAGCGAGCACTGCTCTCTGTCCACATTTGTTTTTGCAGTTATTGCACCTGTTTGAGAAGTACAAATAATTGGGGAAATCTATGCATGCGCATGAACAGGTCTTTTAAACTGAACTCTGACATAATTAAATCATTTTTTTCAAAAGCTGTACCACTTTTTTTTCAACTGTCGTATTTTAAGAATGTCTGCTATGAAATTTTCAATGAAAAAAAAAAGACTTATTGGGACTGATTAAACAAAAAAACCTTCAACATACATAATGAAAATGCACATGTTAAAGTTTACAAATACCGGTAGGTTCTGCCATTGTTGCAGGAAATTTGAGGCACAGTAAAAAAGAATGTGTACATATGGTGCCAGAATTTTTTTTTGGCAATTTAAGAAAAGCAGGAAATCCTCCACATGCAACTGAACTTCCTTCCTAGTGTACATAATGTACATGTCACTGCAAAACATTGATCCTTGTGCTATAAAGGGGTATTTTCATACTTTGCTCAAGTTGTGAATCGAACCCACTACAGGAGGGGAACATGCACATGTACATACCAATGTTCACAACAAAGGTACTTAATCTGGATTATCTACATGTATACCAATTACATACTATGTAGCAATTTGGTGTCAAACATTGTATACGTGGTTAATAAAAATGTTTTCGAAGAGTAACTTAAAAAAGTAAGTAAAGTCTGTCACAAGCCAATGTGGCCCATCAGGCCAGCGTTTAACTCCAGTTTCGGTAGCGTGAAACGAATGAGAATATTTCTACTCCCCCCTGGATGGGATGCTACATGTAAATGTACGTGTAGTCCATCGCAGGTTACGCCCCAGCTACATGTAATGCTGGTACCGATTTATACTCCTGGATGGAAAGAGCCATGTGGGGTGAAGTGGCTTGCCCAAGGATACAACATATGACCAGCAGCTGGATTTGAACCCCTGACCCTCTGATCATGAGTCATACATCCTAACCACTAGGCCACACTCCCCTTCGAAGAGTACAGTATTGTGCGCTAAATGCTGAATCCAACAGTGTGCATGTACACACATCTTTTCTTCTAGCAGTGTTCTCCACAGACTTTTTTCTTGGGAGGGCGGCCATCGGACTGGCACCCATCGGTATGACGTCATCGAGTGGTGAACTGGGTCAGTACGAACGCCGACGGTTACGACGATTGCAAGGTGGTTTTGGGGAACTCCCTCTCCCCTCCGCCAAAATCGATCCGCCTTACACAATTCTGTATGGATGTTGAGTACTCACCTAGAAATCTAAATTTTCCTGTCTGCATGTTCAGGATGTGTCATTTCGACGAAATTTGCCATCAATGAAGACCCATACGAACGTGTAGAAATTAGATTTTAACCCGAGTACCCAGGGTCGTTTGTGTGCAAAATTATCGGTGCCCTCCGAGCTACCCGTCTGCTTCATGTGGCGCATATGATAGGCGGCGTCTGATTGGCCAATAACGAGACCACGTGATAAACGCAGCTAATAATTTGGAATCGCACTTATGATCCGGACATCAGGAGAGCCCGGAATGTCAGTGCGATACAAAATTATCTGCAGCATTTATCACGTGGTAAATCACATGCATCAGGAGGAGGTTGCAGGATTTAGGCTCCACTGGTGTGACGTGTACATGTATTGTACGGTGTTTTTCCCAGTCGTGTACTACTAGTGTCGCACGCGCACGCTTAACCGTCAGCTGGCTGTGGCCTGCCACGGCAATGCTGTGTATGGCGGTCAGGCACAGCAGCTCGAGTTCTTGTTTGATCCAGAGCGCCGGGCGGAAAATAATCTGTGGAGAAGGGAGCTTTTAACCAGTGTTGCGCCTTGGAATTAAAGTTGTTTTCATCCATGATTTGTAAAATTTTTGGCAGGGCGGTCAATTTTCTTGGCAGGGCGGTCAATTTTCTTGGCAGGGCGGCCAATTTTCTTGGCATGGCGGCCAATCCTTTGGCAGGGCGGCCTTAATTCTTAGGAGGGCGGCCCGCCCTCCCAAAACCTACATGTGGAGAACACTGTTCTAGGATCGTCAGTATTGAACATACATGTAGCCCTCTTTTGATCTTGTTGGATTCAGTGTGGTTAGCATCGCAATTACAAATCAACTGTGAACAGTGATTGTTCAGACAAGAAATGCCCCAAAATCCGCCTTTGAGGATTTGTCTTGGCTGTAATTTTCAGAAATGGATGGATTTGGGGTTTAGTGTTTTATAGCAAATATTGTTACACTGACCTGTTCAAAGTTTTGTCTTCACACATGCACATGTAGATGCAAGGAAACCAAAAGAAAAATGCTGTCCTTGTAGTCTGGTTCCCTGACCCTACTTCAGACAAAATGGAGCAATAGACGTCGGGGAATTGTCAGGTCAGGGAACCAGACTAGCTGGCTTGCACCCGTTCCAACTAAATTTGGCAAATTGGGGGCAGTAATTGAAATAAGTCAGTTTTTTTTCTAACGATGGTCGGCCAACCATCGTTGGAAATTGATACAATTTGAAACTGACAGCACACCAGGTGCCATGTTTTCACAGGATGCTTAAGACTATTATTTACTTAGTTACAGTCGTGTTAGGCATTTCACAATACTTTGGTAGTTTGGTTTTTTGACGTTTGCAAATGTTGTATATTTCCTTAAACCCTAACTCCCTAGCATAATTTACAAGGAACCATACCCATCCAGGCAAATTCCAACATCATATGGGAAACTGCACACACATATTTCTGACTTTGATTCTGGAGGTGTGCCAACCCAATGTAAAAGACCGTCAGTTTAGGGGTACCGTTCCCATCCTGACAGATTCCAACACCACCTGCCGTTGGAGTTTGAAGGGTTGGGGGAGGTTAGAGTTAAACCACCCATACAGATGCAGTACAGAGTAGGCTTCGAGTCGGGAATAAGTGACCACACTACCAATTTTGTAATTAATGTGACAGGCAATTTAACATTCTGGTATTAGCACAGGATCTTATCCAAACATTCCCCCCCCCCCAGATCCTTAAAAGTAAGGATTTCCATTCCATACAAACATGGAAACATAGCATGCCAAGATGCTTGGGTGGCTGTGATGCCTGTCAGAATTTAGCAGGCTTAATGTCATGGGTGACATGGTCCATAATGACTGCATAATGAGTACATCCATGTGCACAAAACCACAGAATGCAACAAAACATTCATTCACATCCATACAAAGTCACTGTTCCCAATGCAAATTCTAGGAAGTATTCATCCAGTTTCTACATGGTTCTACTGGAAATCATTTTCCTTTTTCTTTATAGCTTTAAAGAAAGATTTAACAAACCTGTGAAGAAGATGCTGACACTGTGTCAAATGCCAAGCTGAACCTGCTCAAGTCAGATTTGGCTTCGTTCTGACTTCCACTGAACGCCTGAAAGTCCCCCGCAGCACGGGGTGCGGCTTGCGTACTACTGCCTTCCTGAAAGGCTCCAAAGTCACCAAAATCATCCTTGCTGAGATTGGAGGTAGTGGATGGGGTTGCCTGAGTGGGCTGCTTGAGTGGCTGATTTGTGTCGGTGGGTTTGGTTTCTTGCGTCCAGGAAGCGCTTGTGTGAAAGGTCCCAAACCCACCAAAACTACTGTCGTCCTGGGTTTGGGACGTACTGTTGTCCTCTGACGTTGGCTTCTCATTAAATGATTCAAAGTCATTAAAATCATCGTCGCCATCATCGTGCGAGGTCACCGGGCCGAGAATTTCAGATTTCTTAGTGGTCGGCTCCTTAGTACTGGTGGGGACGCTGTCAAAATCTCCCCAGTCATCGGCCGGGGGTTCAGGGGATCGGGAGATGCTTGAGCCGCCTCCAACTGAGTGTTGAGAGTCTCCTTGAGAAATATCTGATTTGGCACACTGCGAGTCTGAGTCTTGGGATTGGTGGCTTTGATCTGAAGTCTGTGATGATATAACATTCTTGTTTGGTTTCTCCTGGGAGTTGACTGAAGTCACCGAGTTGAAGTCCCCGAATTCATCCTCGCTTACACTTTCAGCCTCGACTGTTTGGAGCCCCACGCCGCCTTGTTTTGGCTCCACAGTGAAAGGTTCATTCATGGATTCTTCATGCGAGACTGCCTTTGGTGGCTCCTCTATATGACTTTTGACATCAACCATTCCGCTGTGGGACAACTCAGGGGTCTTTGCTTTGGACCAAACCTCAGACCTCTCTGTTTTGGCAGACTGAGATGACTGGAAGTCGGAAGAGTCAGTGTCCTGGGAATGTGAATCCGACGTGAACGGAGAATGGAAATCCATGGCATTGTCATCACTGTAAGAGTTGGAGGAATTTGTGTTTACACTGTTTCTGCTCAGATCGTCACAGGTCTCCTTGTTATCCCCTGTTCCCTGAGATAGAACATCTTTAGAAGTTTTGCTCTTTGAATGACTTGATTGTAAATTTTGGTTCTCTGGTTCGCTGCTGTTATCAGTGATAACAACATCGGTCTTGCGATCGGGAGAATTTGTAAAGTCCCCCCACGAGTTGTCACCCTCGTTGGGATCCCCCCCATTCGTAAAACTATGGAATGCTTTAACATTAGTTTTGCTTTTCTCATTATCGATACTTTCTGTCTGTTTCTTCAAAACTGGGAATGTTCCAAACTCTAAATCACTGTCGCTGCTATTGATGACGTCGTCGCCATTCGTGTGTGTGTGGCCGGTCTGGTTGTTTGATTCAAAAGTTGCAAAATTGCCAAATTCCTCGTCCTGTTCAACATCTAGCGGTTCCTCTTTGATGGGGAAGAAGTGGGTGTCATTGGCCGCAACGGGCTTCGGCTTTTCTGGTGAGAAACCAGCGCTGGCAAAGGATCCAAAATCATCGTCCTCGTCATCATCAAAGCCATCCAGTGGAGGAGGGGAGGCAGAGACCATAGGTATGAAGGTCTTGGAGGTTGCCATTTTCAGACACTACCTGAAAATATCAAGCGTGAAACATGTAACGTGAATTAATCAATAATATACATATTTTACGTATTAGGCCAAATAAAAAAAAATTACCAGTTTCTCGTCTACGCCCGCATTGTTTTTTTTTCCTGCCGCATCAATTATTAACAAATTTTTATTTCACTTTTTTAACGGCGAATTCTGCTGTATTTTCTGATATTTTCACCTTCATATCTTATGTCTTAACCCTAACTCCCTAAGCTTTTTTGCTAGGATGTAGCCTCAATCCTGCAAAATCCTCCAATTGGCCTCATGGAAAAATAGCATATAGCCTCAATCCTGCAAATTCCTCCAATATTTCTTGAATATGGTCTGTGGAGGGGTGACCACTGCCTGAATCCTGCAAAATCCTGCGGCAGTGACTGTCAATTATGTTGAGGCTTGGCCAGTGACATCCTGGAGCAGTACGGAGGATTTCAAGCATAATCCAGGCCTATATTTATGCATGGCTGAGCAAAAACAACACAAGGTCCGGCCCAAGACCTTGACAAAGTGCTTCCTACGAAATCAGTAACGCACTTGTGCCATGTAACCTCAATCCTCCAAATTCCTCCACTTTGGCAAAGAGGATTTTGAAGGATTCAGGTCGGTTAGGGTTAATATTTGTTTTCAACATAAATGAGTACCCATTTTGACTTGAACTTAAAATATTATCTTAGAAAAGTGATTGGAATTTTGAGAAACACAACATCCACCGTCTTGGAGAAAAAAAATGCACAAATGCAATGGATACTTTGAAAAAAACAAAGACCAACCGCCATCTTGGATCTGTCATTGGAACCCACCAAAAAGAAAAAAAAGTGTCCACATCCTCCTTTTTGCAAAAAAGTGGGATGAGAAACTACTTTTCGTTTTCATTTGGCCTTAGAAGTTTCAAAGTCAGTTTGTACTGATTAAAGACTGCAAAAAGCCATTATTACCTGGTAAGTTTCTCAACAATTTGTCCTTCAAGAATTTCAAGAAATTTAGGCATCTTTCTGGGGTCCATATGCACACGTAAAACATCTGTTGATGGCAGACATTTTGAATGTAAGAAGCGATGACCCCAAGCAGTAGCAGTTCCGATCGTTGTATCAAGTGTGCGTGTAACGATCATGATGTCGAAAAACAGACGGTGGTGACGCAAGTAAAAACTCTGATTTCTCAAACATTTGTCGGTCTGAGGTCCTAAAAACCATTGTTAACAAATTTAAAGAGTTATGGATCAACCACGGAAGCTTTTTTTTTGGGGGGGGGGTTTGAGAAAGTGGAATTCTAGATGTTAGTAATACGTCAATATCATGATCATGGGGCCCAACCAAATCCCATTATGAAGACCCAGTAAATGATAGTGCTAGAAAGGCACATGGGGTGCCTTCGAAATCTAGAAGAACCTGCCCTCTATCTATGACATACTTGCATCATAAATATTGCCAACTACAATGTAATTTGTAAAGTCAAATAAATTTGTTCTCTTGTACTTATAGGGAACCGGGCCCGTAACTACACCATGTCCATGACACGATCGCCGAATTCTTTCCCCTGCCAGATTCATCATGTCTTTTCAACAATAATCATTGATATCAATAATATACGATGAAAAAAAGTAGTGGCAGGGTGCAACATTCTTTTCAAAATGGCAATTGTCTGCCACAGCAACTTTATTGGTCTTTGTTAACGTTTGTAAAAACCTAGTAACAGTTCTGGAGGTAATGTAGGTAGGATGGGACGCCCTATTATCGCGGTACTTATCACGTTTCTCGTTCGGAATAGAGATTGCCAACTAACCTTTCCGAATTGTCCTCCACGCTCTAACCGCTCGGCTACGGGGCCCCTCAATCACAGGCCACAAACCGCACAGGAAAATCATGAATGATTTCTACCCCAAGAATCTGTTCTAAATTGCAAAACGGGTGTCATAAGAATTGAGAAAAGACTGCTTTTGATTGTAAGGATTAATTGCAGAATACCCCACCACTCGGAAATACACCCCTAAACTCTCTGGCTACGAGGTTGGAATCACTGGAAAAGAAACAATTCAAGTCCATGCCAGCTACGCGGATACTGAGTGGGGGTCCATTATTTGAGAACGAAGCAACACAAAAGGAATGGGAGTTGCTGAAAAACATTCTAAGTCCAAACCAACCATTGTTTGCCAACCACCCTGTTGGCGGCTACGCGGATACGGAGAGGGAGTCCCCTTGAATATGCTTGAGAACGAAGCAACACAAAAGGAATGGGAGTTGCTGAAAAAATTCTAAGTCCAAATCAACTACCCTGTTGGCGGCTACGCGATTACGAAGTGGGAGTGCAATGGAGCATGACGCATAGTATAGTCAGACTCCCTATTATCGCGGCATCCCTATTATCGCGGCATGGGAAATTTCTCTTTTTGCGTTGCCAAAACTCCTTCAAGTGGCAATTTTTTTCCAGTTCACCAGTCATTAAGGACTTTTTGCCAAGTTGTATACAAAGGACGATTAAAAAATGTTGTGTCTTTCGGGACTTTTAACGATTTTTAATAAATAATAACGTTTTCCAAAACTTGCAAATTTTCCCTCACCATGTCTGCTAAAAGGTACCGTCTATATTTTAACATAATTCTTTAATGGTGCTCTGTCCATGAAAGTTCCATTGCCTGGTTCCCATTCTTCAGCTGCAAATGTAAAATGAGGTCGAAGGACGATATTTGCACCGCGAAAACGTAAAAACTTTTACGGGATCAAAATAAGCACAGCGCGTTAACAAAAATAAAATGGCACACCGTGTAAAGTGAATGGCGCCCCCAATCGCCAATCAGTAGACTTGCCTCAGTGAGTTCATGTGTTCTCCTTTCGGGGGAAGGGCTGGGTCTTAGAAATCATCCTGCAGATATAATAGTCTTTAATCAACTTGAACTTACAGGGAAAATATCAGACTTTATTCAGGGGGTGTTTTGGTCAAACATTAACTGTGAATAAAAAAGTTGAGATCATTATAAAAACCACTTCCCGCATACCGCGATAATAGGGAGTCCACCTCCGTTCGCACACTCCGAGCATGTCTATTTTCACAGGCATCGTACACGGAATAAACCACACCACCGTCGGAATTTTTTATATCAATTTCAAAAGGAAGAGTTATACCGTAATTTTCGGAATATAAGCCGCGCGGCATATAAGCCGCAGCACGCACAAATCTGCAAATTAAGATTTGAAGTCGGCGTATAAGCCGCACCGGCGTATAAGCCGCACCGACCGCTGCGGTTTCAATTTTGTAAGGCCTCCAAATTCTAGTCAAAATGCTCTGAACCAGTTCCATTTACACTACAGAAGCTATTAAAAGGGCCACAAAAGTTATATCAAATCATTTACAATCGATACTTTTACAAACAAATATGGGAATTGATGAGAAATAAACACCGGGAACTGCTGCTGTCGGCTGCCCCGTCATTAGCCCGGCAGCCTGCGCCACGCACGCCGGTGAATGACAACATTTTCCCACAGCACGTGAGAGAGTATGAAACCCACCGTGTGTTGTCTGACTGGAGCGCTACAAATCTTGCTTTGTGGCAACAGATGCTGATTTGTTTTGTCCTAAGAATAAACAGGTCCGTTTTTACCTCAAAACTTATCAAATTGTTGCGATTACTAACGAGTAGTTGCGATAAAAATTCAAGTTTCGATCGTAACTTTCTTCGGAAATAGTCAAAACGAAGCGGACATTTTGATAGACGAATCCATTAATTTTGTAAGGGGTGATTTAGTCCCTCTTTTGAGTTTTACATTGTTTCTTGAATACATTTCAAGAAAACAAAATATATTGTGACGTTGAACAACTGATTATGTAATAAATAAATTTTTCGAACGCCATACAAATTTTAGTCGTCTTTTTTCTTTTTTTTTAAACAGCGGAAATATTGGTAATTATTGTTCCCAAGAAAGAACACCCCTTTATTACCACAAATGGTGTGGTCCGCTGGGGGAAAGCATGCATATCACTGCTGCACTGTACCAGTATCACGTACGGCTGGTGGCAAGTGTCGAAGACAGCTTTCACTAGCCGTACTTTTTACCGCTCGGTACCTTTACGTGAGACGTGGTTTCGGTTTGTTAATGACTTTCTTAATTTATAATTCATTTCAGCAACACATCTCTTCTTGTACCAGTACATTAAATACACATGTGAATCTTATTTTTATTCTTCAAGGCTCGGCGTATAAGCCGCCCTGTGTATAAGCCACAGTAAACATTTTCATGGGCAAATTCAACGTATAAGCCGCGGCTTATATTCCGAAAATTACGGTACTACTCAAAAGACAGGACAATTCGGGAAGGTTAGTGGGGAATCTCTATTCCGAACGAGAAACGTGATAAGTCCCACGATAATATGGCAACCCATCTTACATACAAGTAGCGCTGAGATTGTTTATTGAGGTCAACCAACCGTGACCTCGTAGCCGGCTACGAGGTGGATAGATCGAGTGGCGGGGTATTTTGAGCAATAAAAAACATTTTTGACTCTAATTTTATCAAAACAAAACTGGGGCCCTACACTTCACGATCGCCCATGTAGGCCTACGTCATCTGGTCATTTACGCGTGTAGACATGGTACTTGGTAGGCCCAGATAATTTTAAAGCAGACGTTGAATAATCCATCCGATGCAGAAAATAATCAACAACAGATATTTTCATCCCATTTCAAGCTCATTCACAGTATCAAACACATACTTACATTCGACATACACACAGGTAGATAAATAACGATGCTAAAGTAAAGAAGTAGAAATTGGTATTAAGTGATTTATTATTTTTCAATAAGGACAGAAACACCCTCCGCTTCGGCCATCTTCTATTTATGCCGATTCGCTGGTACTTTTTTTCCACCGGCCGGTTTGTCCATTGTATTGTACGTGTTACTGCGAATGAAGCCGTTTACCAACGCAGGGAAGATTGAATCGTCGCATGGTGGCGGTGTTTCAAGGAAATACTTGTTGAAATTTCGTAATGATGATCGTGGGTATAAGGGCGATTGAATTTCAAGACAAATCGTCAAACAATTAAAAAAAATAATAATATGACCAAAGCAATATAATGTTTTCGACGCGAAAAATACAATCTGAATGAAAGTCGACTTTCATGAACACAAGCAACACGTGCATTCGTTGTGCTGCCATTTTATAACTCCATGGTTGTGCGGACTGAACTCAAGAAATACCAGTTGTATTGAATTGAAATTTCGTCTAGTGATTAGTCATGATGGGTTACATCGGGCGATTGACATTCATGAAAAATCCTCAAACAATTAAAATAAAATGACCAAAACAATGTAGTGTTTTAAACGCGAAAAATACAATCCGAATGAAAGTCAACTTTCATGGAACAAATTAAAGCAACACATGTACGCCTTGTACGGAGTGAAAAATATCTGTTTCATTGAATTGAAATTTGGGCTTGTTGTCGCACTTTACCGTACCCGCACACTTTTGTCTAATAGTTTCTGTCGAAAAAGTGCGCGCTAAACAAATTAGTGGTCTCGCACGTGCGCACGGAGGAGACAAACCTGCACTTTAAATCTCTTTCAATAGAGGGCGCGCCACACTAGTATTGGTCACCACGGCAAAGCATTTTTTGTCAACGCCAGGATGACCGTTTAAGCCGATTTTCGGCTAACTTTGACATAATTTTTTTAAAATAACGAGTTTGACAGAAAATTTGACAGAATGGATTTTTTTGGCACATAATGTAATTTGAAACTTAATTAAGGCAAATAAATAGTACAACATCTGCATGTGATTTTAAGTGTTTATAGTGAATGAAGGAAGCCGCCATCATCTTAATTGATTTCCGCAAAGCATTTGACTCTGTTGACAGATCAACAATGTTTAAGATTCCTGCAGGCTTACGTTGTCCCGGAGGAGACCATTCATGCCATCAAAATTATGTATGAAGATACAAGTGCTGTTGTTCTCACTCCAGAAGGTGAATCTGATTCGTTCTCCGTCAACACTGGAGTTCTTCAGGGTGATCCCCTCGCCCCCTACCTATTCATCATAGTTCTGAATTATGCCTTGCGGACAGCATTAAATGTCACTGATGGTCTCACTCTCTCACGCCGTAGGAGTAGTAGACACCCTGCCCAATGCCTATCCGACCTAGATTATGCAGATGACATTAGTCTGCTTGCTGACACTCTCCTTGATGCCGAATCTCTCCTCCATAAAAGTAGAAGCTTGCTGCAAGTCCGTTGGTCTCTCTCTTAATGCAAAGAAGACTAAGTATACAACCCATCTACCTCTGACGACGTCACTGCACTGGATGGCAGTAAGCTCGATAAAGTTGATGACTTCAAGTATCTGGGCTCCTACACCAACACAGCTCATGACGTCGAGTGTAGAAAAGCTCAAGCTTGGTCTGCTCTGTTCTCACTGACCAAAGTATGGAGATCCTCGATCTCCAAGACCACCAAACTTAAGATCTTCAAGACCTCAATAGAATCCATCCTCCTCTACGGTTGCGAGTCCTGGACCCTGACCAAACAGATCTCTGCATCCATTGATGGCACCTATACACGGATGTTGCGGGCTGTTCAGAACGTTTCTTGGCAACATCTCCCTAACTCTGTTCTGTATGGTGCCCTTCCTCCTATCTCCACCAACATCAGACGATGATGCCGAGTTGGCTAGGTGCCGAAGTGACCGACATTCGAATGTCGGTCACTTCGGCACCTAGCCAACTCGGCACCTGCCAACTCGGCACCTTGCCAACTCGGCACCTTCTCGGCACCTTGCCAACTCGGCACCCAGCAAACTCGGCACCCAAATTTTGCCTCTTTCTCACGACTTCCAACTCGGCACCTGACAAACTCGGCACCTGACCTTCCGATACCATGATCCGTCCCCAAATAATCAGTTTAGTAAAAAAAAAAAGTCTTGAAAAAAACAGTATTACATGATTAGTTTGTAAAACATCTACACATGCAACTACGGCAGTGGGTACCAGGCATGACCAGCGGAGCGGGGCAGTGAGCGTACCGGGTACCATGTGGGTGGCGCCTCCGGCTAGGCTCCCGGTGGCGCGGCCCGCGGCCCCCTTCCCAGTTTAGCCCTGCGCGCACTCCATTGTTATTTTGTGGTGTGATTTTCACGAAATGACTACACGTAGGGAGTCCGTTTTTCCCCCTTTTTTTAACAACCCTAAAATGAGTCTTTGTGACTTGCAGTAGAGCTCTACATGTGATGTAAACAGTACTTTTGACTGTCATTTTCGAGTGACCGCTCCCGTGATTCTTCTTCTTCTTCTTCTTATTATTTATTCGGCCAACAAATGAACAAAAGTACAATGACAAAGCAAAGATATATCGAAAAGTAAACAAAATTGGAAATTGAAAAAGTATGACCAGACAAGACTGAAGGATGCGAGAAGGAATGGCTCGAGAGGGGGGGGGGGGGGGGGGGGGGTGGAGGGGAGGGAAGGGAGGGTGGACAGTTTGGCAGGGGAGAGGAGATAGAGGGACAGAAAACAAGGACAATATAACATTTCAAACCGGCCAGGGTAAACAAAAGTGTACTTAAACACTGTAGCCCTAAGGCCTGCCTACCCATGCTCGAAATGTCTACACAAAAATTAAATAGATCTTAAACAAAATGAATACATGTCAGCACCGCCGTAGCAATAGCTTCAGCAAAAGTCAGTGACACCAGCGCGTTCCTTTACTCGCGCAAGGCATGATGGGAAACAACATGGCGCAGCAAGATCTCGTACCCATGGGAACGAGGTTGCAGTGACACCACCGCCGTAGCGAAATCATCGCTGATCCCGCGCACGCTTCTGCTTCTGCTTCAGTACTGCGTAAACACCCTCTGGAGGGTTATAAACACGCAGGCGTAGTGCTGGCAGCAAGAGAAACTAGTTTAGAGGGTGAGCGCGGGTTAAGAGGTCTATTTATTTAGTAAGCTAAATCTATACTACAATTCAAGGAATCTCTGTCTGTCTGTCCGTCTGTCCGTCTGTCTGTCTGTCCGCCGATTATCTCCAGAACCGGGCACCGTATGGAGTTGAAAATCGGCGGGTGTATTGCTCGGGACAGCAGAATGTGCAGTGCTGAGTTTGAAGTGGTTTGGAAGAGCGGTCCTCGAAAAAGCTGCAAAAAAGCAGTATTTTCTGAGGCCTAGCGCGCCAGAATATAGCCTAGAACCCGGCGCGCATTGATGTTCTTTTCAATTGTTTACGTCATGTTTGAGCAAGAGCGCGCGTGCTAAATATGACGCAACAATGAAAAAAAGGACGGGCACATTGTAGGGCGATAGCACTGCACACCATGTCTTCGTACGTGAGTGGCATGCACGGGCACGGGCACGGGCACATGCATTTGGTAGTCAACTGAGCAACCATCACTGCACTGTATGTAGGCGGTCGACTGAGCAACTCTAATACAATATGGTATCGCCCTACAACTACGCCAGGGCTACAGTTGTAGTAGGGGAAAATATCAGTAGGGGAAAATATCAGTCCCGGGGGGGGGGGGGGGGGGGTGACGACATTGTGTGCGTTTAACTTGCGAGTGTGCGTTCACACCATTGAATAATTTGCGTTATTTGCACGAGCTGCAGTTCTCAACTGCCCCTTCCGAACACGCACATTTTCGACTAGCCCTGCACTAGTCTATACTACAATTCAAGGAATCTCTGTCTGTCTGTCCGTCTGTCCGTCTGTCTGTCTGTCCGCCGATTATCTCCAGAACCGGGCACCGTATGAAGTTGAAAATCGGCGGGTGCATTGCTCCGGACAGCAGAATGTGCAGTGTCGAATTGGAAGTAGTTTGGACCAGCGGTTCTCGAAAAAGCTGCAAAAAGCAGTATTTTCTGAGGCAAACGTAGCTTAGAACATAACACCCGCACGCACTGCCGTTCTTTTCAATTGTTTACGTCATGTTTAAGCTAAAGCGCGCGTGCTCAATATGACGCTAACAATGCAAAAAGGACGGACACGCGCACGTGCATTGCAGGGCGATACTTTGTCCAGTATGGGTGAATACTACTGGATCAATGGGTGAATAGCACTGCATACCATGTTTTTGTATGTACACGGGCACATTATTTTTGCAGTTGACTGAGCGACCATTGTAGGTGGTCGAACTTCAAACTTGGCAAAAGTTTTGACGTAAGTGTGCGTTCAATCTGTGAAAACAACACCATTGAATCGCGTGCGTTGTTTGCACGAGCATTTCTCCAAAACTCTGCAAGTATGCAACCTATACCAGCGGCAAAGCAATTTGCGTTTCCCGAACATGCACATTTTTAGACGGGCACTGCACTAGTAAATAGAATTAGAGGAATTGCTTTGGATTGGTTCAAAACTATTTAAGTGACAGGAAACAGTATGTGGTATGGCAGAATACCAAATCTACTTTTGCACCAATCAGTTGTGGAGTTCCTCAAGGTTCAATACTTGGCCCTATACTTTTTCTGATTTACATAAATGACATTTGTAACTCTTCCAAAATGCTCTCCTTTATTTTATTTGCAGACGACACTGATGTTTTTTAAAGCAGTAATAACTTACTTAAGGCAGTTGACACTGTTAATCGACAACTATGCAAAATCTCCGAATGGTTTAAATGTAATAAACTATCCGTTAATTTAAAAAAAAAAAAACAATGTATGTTGTTCTCCTATGGTAAAGTCGACAGGAATATCAGTGTTTACTTAAATGACACACAGAACAAGTTGAAACATGTAAATTTCTAGGTGTAATCATTGATAGTAAACTTTCTTGGAAGCAACATTGCCAACTTTCTCGGAACCAGGGTATCTTAAGAAAATTAAAACACGAATTACCTTCAGATATCTTATTTTCAATTTATAATACGCTGTCCCTGCCTCACCT